CATCTCGATTAAGTTTCACGTTCCATTTCCAGTCGCTCCAATTAATTACCATATCTAACATCGAAGAGTAATTTATAAAGTTAACGTTAGTTCCCGGACGATCGAAAAATCAGAATTTTTTTTCTTCGCTGTAATTAAGAATAGATAGGGCTTGTTAATCATCGGCAATCGTGAGGATACGGTATGTCTGGACACTGTGACGATCGTGTGAGAACACACGACCTTGTAGTGGGACACTGGCCATGACGTAAGTTATCGGTTCTTTGTACGTACGTACATTCGTGTACGTCGATTGAAGAATCCTACGATGGCCAGTAACACGTAAACTAAAGGCAGTTCTCATGTAACGTAGATTTTTCTTAGAAATTTTTCTTCTCGAGCTATACGCGACATTTCCTGACGAGAGTTCCTTGACGTAAACTGTCAATGGTCGTTAATACGTAAACTAAAGGCAATTCTCATGTAACGATGAGAACGAAAAATATTCTTTTTTTTTTTTTTAGAAATTTTTCTTTCTCAAATTATACAGATTTCTTAGTGAAAATTTGTAAGTTCATATCGTCAGTGGCCAATAATACCCAAATTAAGGGCAATTCTCATGTAACGATGAGAACGAAAGGCATCTTTCTTTCTCAAACTATACTAATTTCTTTACGAAAATTTGGTAACGTAATCTCATACTGTTGGTGACCAATAACACGCAAATTAAGGGTGATTCCCATGTAACGATGTGAATAAAGGTTTACCTTTTTTCCTTAGAAATTTTTCTTTCTCAAACTATACAAATTTCTTCATAAAAATTCCATAATATAAGCTCATACCGTCGGTGACCAATAGCACGCGAATTAAGGGCAATTTCCATGTAACGATATAAATAAAAAATTTACTTCCTTTTAGAAATTTTTCTTTCTCAAACTGTACAAACTTCCTCGTAAAAATTCCTCGACTCATACCGTCCACAAATCTCTTCGCATTCGTACGTTAATATAATATCTAAGAACAGGATACCCTCTCTCGATCAGAAATCCCAGAAATATCGTACGATTTGTTTGCAAACATTTTCCCCGCTGCGAGCCACGAAAATTGGCAATTAGGAGAAGAGTGGCTTAATGCTGTATTTTAATACTTTACGGCTACATAATAAAAAGCAGCCCTGACGCAACCGGTTTCGAAGAGGAGGAGCAGAAGACCGTGGATCCAACGGTGTCTCGTCAGCACGCGAGATCTTGAACCAAATTTTATGTATACACGCTGTTCTTAGTGTCATAAGCAGAGCTTCGGAAACTTGTTTACGAGAAACGGATGAATCGAACGATGGTCGTCGAACCTCCCAGCCGTCGACTTCCTTCATCGAGTATCGCGCAAGAAGATGAAATTTCTTCAGACGATACCGGAACTTCGTTAAATTAAACAACTTATACGCGTCTCTCCCTCTTGTTTTTTTTCCTTTACATATTCAAATCGAATCTCCGCTACGACAGAGAGAAATAAAATAACGAGTCTGAAATTAGAACATACCTATTCGATGACACGATAATTCAAGTAGATGATAAAAAATTTTTAAAAAAGGTACAGGTGAAACACAGTCGAAATCAAGCGTCCCTTGTGCGTGTCAATTTTCAAGCGACATCGGTTTGCAATTAAGCGTGAAGCAATAACATCGTCAAACACGCTATTAAAATTCTATGAAAGGTAAGATCAACCTTATAGACAATATTCTTTCTGCGAACATCGGGGATCAACGATCCACGATGTCCCGATCCCCTTGACCACGTATCCAGCCGTGTATTTTTGGAAGGGTCCGGTTTGTTAGCTTGAATGACAGGCCCTTTTATCGATTATTAAGCTGCTCTCGGCTAATTAGCGAGGAATTTCGATGCAAATTAGGAAATTTCGACGCGACGCACGTATTTTTAATTTTAGATCGAATAGTTCGATCTCTCCCGTAGAAGTGAAATTAGAAGAAGAGGAGATGAAAGTAGAAGTGTAACGTTGATTTTCATAGTTATTTTTCAGGAGCTTTTTCTTTTTTGAGAAACGCTTTGGACGAGTTCCACGGCATTATTTATGAATAACTATAAATCACGGACGAAGATTAACCACTGGGCGAGTGAAATTATTAATAGCTCGCGGTTGGAAGAAAGAAGATCCAGAGAGAGAGAGAGAGAGCGAAGTTGAGGAGAAAAAGTAAAACGTTTTCTCCTCTCTCGTCCTTTAAGGGGCAGTTCGATGAACCACGGACTGTGAAGTTTATATCCATCTCAAGGACTGGCGCTAGCCCCTTTCGTTCCTTTTTCCTGGATGTCCGCCCTGATGCTGTGTTTTCGTGAAAAAGAACGACCGCGAGGAGCTCGATCTGCGATCGTCCGAGCTGAGAAAAGAAAAAAAAAAGAGATAAATGTTAATACGTGTATTCGGTTGAAAGAAAGAAAGATGTTCGCGTGATTATCACACCGAGTGGATTTATAGGTTCGATTGTCTTAATCACTGGTTGTAATACAATTTACAACTGATGTTTAATTACTATTTACGACAGTTTTTGCCCGCTGAACTGGACAAGTTACATTTCCGACAGGAAACTCTACACGACCAGCTTTATACACGATTCGATATTACACGGCATCACTTTCTTGTAATTGGGGGAACCATAAGTGGCGATTCAGGAGAGGGACAGGAAATACTGGACGAAGAGTCGTAATTAAGAGATTTAAAAGATTTAATAAACGGCTTGCGTTAAAAACAGCAACACAGGTTTGTGTGCATGGATTATACAGTTATTTACATAATCTTGTATATTTTCTTCGATGCTAAATACACCCACTATGTTTAGAAATATGATAATTTTGTACGTAAAGTTAAACGACACTTAGGATACGATTTTTTCCGTTGTGTAATAGAATGTTGGAATTAAATTTGTAATTGAAGATTCCAAGTTTCCTTGGATGCAAGTACCTCTGGTCATATTGAAAATTTCTCTTTAATTCTTCTTCAAAAGAGAAATTAGAAAGAACAACTGAGATTGGAATAAGAAAATTTCAAAATGGAGAACACTATAGATCGAAGGAACCCTCCAAAAAACATCCCAAATTCACACCAATTCAAAAATAATATTCCATACACTCTCTACCGAAGAAAAAATGAAAGAACGTGAAAATTTAATCAGAAAGTTTCAGAAAATATTTGATCGATATGGAGAACGCTATGGATCGAAGAACCCCTTCAAAAAAAATTCCAAATTCACACCAACTCGAGAATAATACCTCCTACAATCTCCCCCAAAGAAAAAAGAAAGAAAAAACGCGAAAATTAAATGAGAAAATTTGAAAAAATATTTGATCGATTTGGAGAACACTATGCATCGAAGAAATTCCATCTCTAACTCCCCTCGAAAGAAAAATCCCAAATTCACACCATCTCGAAAATAATATCCCCCACAATCTCCCCAAAAGAAAAAAAACAATCTCCCCCAAAGAAAAAAGAAAGAAAAAAGGCGAAAATGAAATGAGAAAATTTCAAAAAATATTGAACCGATATGGAGAACAGGATTACACGACAGATCGAAGAAATTCCATTCATTGTGGTCAGAGGGAAATGCACAGCGTACGTTGGCATTCGCGACGGTGCACGAGGAACACGCGATTGGCAAGTTCACGGCCGTCCCTTACGTGCAGCCTTCTCCTCGGCCTCTTCAAGGCCAGCACGAGGATCGTACTCTCTATGCAAATGCT